AAAATACTGGTTAATGTATAAAAAAATATAAATTGCCAGTAAAATCTGAGTATTTTATAACTTAGTAATCAAAATGCAAATAAAAAGGTATTTTTAATCTTTTTTTAGATTGGCAGAAAATGATAAAGTACACTGCAGAATGTGGGTAAATGAGTATTCTTGTGAGGGCAAAATCCTTTCTGGTGGAAGGCAGTGTGGCAGTACTTAAAATTTTAATATATGTGTATCCTTGGATATATAATTTGACGTCTAGAAATTTTTTCACAAAGAGATAATTAAATGTAAAAAGATATTGATCTGTCTCGAGAAATGTCTATCATTATGGGATTAAGTTAAGTATATCCATTCAATATGATAGTATACAGCTATTAAAAATGGTGATGTATTATAGATTTATATTTATTGCAATGGAAATAGGTCCTCAACAAGCTCATTTTATTTCTCAACAATAAGTAATAGCATGCCTAATGGAGCCTTATTTATATAAAATTGTGTGTGTGAATGGTAGACAAATCTCTGAGATAAATACTCACTAAAATGGTTATCTCTGAGTGGTGTCCTATTGGCATTTATTTGTGTTGTTAGATTTCTTTACAATAAGTATTTTATCATTTTTGTATTTGAAAAAGGTGAGACTTTTTTTTCCCTCACTGAACAAATGAATATGAATACAACCTTTAAGCAGTACCTGATTAAGCTCTACAAATACCTAAATCTAACAAGGTCTATAGAATCTGTTAATGTAATACCCGGGGGCTGTGCTTTGGGATGCTCTACTGTTGCCGTTGAAGTTACTCAGGAACCAACAGAACTGGTCACAGATAGTTGGGGAGTTCTGAACTTTAGAGCCCAAGGCATTGACTGCTATTTTTAGTGCCACACCCTGCTGTAGTTAACTTCTTTAAAGACTTGATTGTTAAAAAACAAAGTCAAGTTTGAACCTTTGTTTTGTTGTTTTGATTTAGTTTTATTTTTAAGTTCATTTACATATAATTGACAAAGTTTTAACATATTTCAAGTGACTTGGTGTATGTATACATTGTGAAAGGATTCCTCTAATCTGTTTAAATAACATTCATCATCTCACATAGGTATCTTTTCATTTTTTATTTATTAATGTTTTATGTATTTTTGAGAGAGAGAGAGAGAGAGAGAGAGAGTATGAGTGAGGGAGGGGCAGAGAGCGAGAGGGAGACAGATTCCAAAGCAGGCTCCAGGCTCTGAGCTGTTAGCACAGAGCCCAATGCAGGGCTCGAACCCCCGAACTGTGAGATCATGACCTGAGTTGAAGTCGGGCACTTAACAGACTCAGCCACCCAGGAGCTCCTTTAAAGTTCTACATGCAGTAAATTTTAATTGTACAATACAATGATAATTAAGTGTAGTCACCATGTTATACGTTAGATCTTCAGACTTTATTTATTTATTGTGCAGTTGAAAGTTTGTACCCTTTCATCAACTTCTCCCTATTTTCCCATGCCTTGGCCATCACTTTTCTTTATCCTTTTTTTTTTTTAATTTTTTTTTTTTTTTTTTTTTTTTTTTTTTTTTTTTGAGAAAGAGAGAGAGAGCAGGGGAGGGGTAGAGAGAGAGAGAGAGAGAGAGAGAGAGAGAGAATCCTAAGCAGGCTCCACACTGTCAGCACAGAGCCTGATGCCTGGCTCGAACTCACAAACCATGAGATCATGACATGAGCCAAAACCAACAGTTGGATGCTCAACCACTGAACCACCCAGGTGCCCCCTGGCAATAATTTTTCTATAAGTTTGACTTTTTTTTTTTTTTAAAGATTCCACATGAAAGTAATACCAGGAAGTATTTGTCTTTGTTGTTTTACTTTGGATTAACAAGAGTGTGGTGCACGCTTGCCCTTGTTTATGAAGAATAGTAACATTAGAAGGCATTGTCTTCTCTGCATATATATCAGGTACCATCTTAATCATTGGGTTGGAGGGGAAGTAAAATTCCTGCCCTCCAAAATTTCATTCTTTAGTAGAGCACTGAACAGTCAAAGGACTATTTCTGTGAACCGCGCTATGGCAGCACAACAGTAGGACTTTTGACTTAGATGTTGGTGTGGTTCTTGGACTTGGGTGGCTGTTCAAGGAAGATCTTCCAGGGGAGGGGTGCCTGGGTGGCTCAGTCTTAAGCGTCTTACTCTTGATCTCCACTCAGGTCATGATCTCACAGTTCAAGCCCCACATTGGTCTCTGCGCTGACAATGTGGAACCTGCTTGGGATTCTCTCTTTCTCTCCCTCTCTCTCTCTGCTCCCTCACTCATGCCTGTGCAGGCTTTCATGTGCGTGCATGCTCTCTCTCAAAATAAATCAATAAACTTAAAAAAAAAAAAGGATTTTCCAGGGGAAATATCTGAACTGAATTTTGAATTTCAGTTTAGACATCTGAACTGAAGTTTGAAAGGTTAAACATGAATTAGCCAAACCAAAGAAAGAGCTATCTAGGGAAATCTAGGTAGAGACAAAGGCATGGAGGCATGCAAAGCACAGTACTTGTTGGGAACTATAGGTCATTCAGCCTGGTGTAGAGATTGAGGTAGTACAGGCAACAGAATGAAGCTAGAGAGGTCTGATCATGAAGGGTCTTGTCAGCTGTCAGAGTTTTTTCCTCTGGACTTCTTATAAATACAGCCTTTGTTTAGGTAGGATGGGAATCTTTGAGTCATCTTTGACTATTGAGACTCCCTCCCATCCTTAAACTCCCTTATAATTAGGCACCAAATCCTGTCAATTTTGGGAACTTGGATTGAAATGGAATCATGACAAGCTAGATGTAGACTGTGTTCTTTACTGTAACTTAAGTCTTTTTAATTTCTAGGTCTTTGCCTTGGCTCACAGACCCTTAGTAAATGTTCAAATGAGTGGGTTATAGGAAGGGAGTTCTAAAGAGAAAATGTTTAGTATTTTTACACGTGATGATGTATAATTTTTCTATTCTTCATTTCATTATAGAATATTTAAAAGTGTTTTTGTTTTTGTTTTTTAAATTTATTTTTGAGAAAGAGAGCATGAGCGGGGGATGGCAGAGAGAGGGACACAGGATCCAAAGCAGGCTTCAGGCTCTGAGCCATCAGCACAGAGCCCAATGCATGGCTCAAACTCCCAAACCATGAGATCATGACCTGAGCCAAAGTCGGACACTCAACCAACTGAGCTACCCAGGCGCCCCTATTATAGAAAATTTAATAGTCTTAAGAGGCCTCGTTGAAAAGTCAACTCTTCAGTAATTAAAAATCTCCAAAATGGAATCAGACCGATTAGTAAGATCTGCTTGGTCAGTGCACTGGTGGGTGACTGAAGCAGCATCATGGTAGGAAAGAGGTACCAGAAAGCTTCTGACGATTTGATTTTGATGAATACACCCCAGATCACATAGTGTCTTTTTTTTTTTTCCTAGCTGAGAACAGTCATGTGACTGTCCAGTAGAGATTAATTTTTTAGTTAGAGGAAATTTGTGAACATGTACATTTATTGCTTTTTACTTGCCATAATAATGTGAGAATGCGCTTTCTTGAACTTACGGACACATACAGCGTTTATTTTGTGTTTACTAAAAGGAAGACTATGCAGAGATGGTTGGCATTTGCAACAATTAGGCATTGTTTCAGTGAAATAATTGTGCCATTTTGAAAGCAAATTATGTATCGGAAGCATATCTTTGAAGCAGCTTTATGATTATCAGCAACACAGGTGCTGTAACTATTATTTTAGTGGAATTGAATCTTTTGTTATATGGGTCACATAACCAGGAACTGAACTTTTACACTTGTAACTGTGCAAGACTCTTATTAAGACATAATGTAATACAAACAGAAGATAGGTGTCTCAAAGTGTTTTTGTATATGGGCTTAAGAGCAAAGGTATTTATCACATAGAACTAGAATGAGAGCATTATAATACAGTCCAATTTATGCATATGTTTAATATTTTAAAGCCTTTCCTTTGTTTCCTTCCTTTTCTTAAAGTATAAATTAGCTAAGCCTATTTCCTTCTCCCATCAAAGAAAAAAAGGAGATACAAAGGTGTTTCTTCTGTCACCTCTCACTTCCCATTATCTAATTTTTAAAGTTTTTTTTTTCCTTTTTTTAACTCACATTTAAATCTATATGCTGTAGCTTGAAATGAAAAAGATTTTTGCATATGTGGCTTCAATGAACGTTCCTATAGCCTGGTTAATATGGTTTTATTGTGACAAATCTCCCTATATAGAGCTGATTAAAATGGAATTTTCCCTGTAACTTTATCTTAGCTGTCTTATATCCTCTTGAGTATAGGTGGTATAATGATAAATAAGTATTTTGTTTCTTAATCTTAAAACCAAGATGAACATTTTTAAAATGGGTAGATATACATTTGTCTTATTTTCTTTTTTCCTGTAGAGATCATTACAGTTGTAACAAATAATACAGGTTTTGTACACTTTGCCCAGTCTCCCTCAGTAATAACATTTTGTAGAACCATAGTACAATATTACAACCAGGATATTGACATTGTACAATCTATTCTTATTAATTCAGATTTTTCCAGTTTTACTTGAACTCATTTGTATATGTGTATAATTCTATACTGTTTAATCTCTGTATGTTTGTGTATCTATCACTACAGTAAAGCTGAATAGCTCCTTATCACAAGGGTCCCTCTTGTTGCCCTTTTATAACACCTGCTTTTCTTCTGCCAGTTCATCGTTCCTCCCCATCTCTGACTCCTGGCAGCCAGTAATCTCTCCTCCATTTCCAAATGTTTTTTCGTTTCGAAAGTGTTATATAAATGAAATCATATAGTATGTAACCATGTGAGATTGACTGTTTTCACTCAGTATAATTCCCTGGAGATTTGTCCAAGTTTGTATGAATTAGTCACTTACTCCTTTTTATTACTTGTTTTTTTTAAGTTAGAGAATTTCCACATAGTTTAGTACTTAGTTTCTACTTTGTTTCCTTCCTAATCTATTTTAAAAATACATATATTTGTCTTAAATCTAGGTGACAAAACACGACCACCATCCTCAAGCCCCTCTAGTATTATCCGGCGCACTTCCTCTCTGGATACACTTGCTGCTCCATACCTTGCAGGGCACTGGCCTCGTGATAGTCATGGGCAGGCTGCTCCTTGCATGAGGGACAAGGCTACACAGGTAGGTTTATTAAAATTCTTTTTTTTGGGGAGGTGGGGAAGGGCGCCTGGGTGGCTCAGTCGGTTAAGTGTCTGACTTCAGCTCGGTCTGTGAGTTTGAGCCCCACGTCAGGCTCTGTGCTGACAGCTCAGAGCCTGGAGCCTACTTCAGGTTTTGTGTCTCCCTCTTTCTCTGCCCTTCCCCCACTCGCACTCTGTGTGTGTGTGTGTCTCTCTCTCTCTCAAAAATAAATAAACATTAAAACAAATTTTTTATGGGGCACCTGGGTGGCTCAGTCGGTTGGGCAACCAACTTCGGCTCAGGTTATGATTTCATGGTTTATGAGTTGGAGCCCTACATCAGGCTTTGCACTGACAGCTCAGAGCCTGGAGCCTGTGTCGGATTCTGTGTCTCCCTTTCTCTCTGACCCTCCCCTGCTCACACTCTGTCTCTCTGTCTCTGTCTCTCTCTCTCTTTCAAAAATAAACATTAAAAAAAGGGTTTTTTTAATGTAAAAAAAAATTTTTTTTTTGAGAGAGTAGTGCAAGCAGGGGAGGGGGCAAAGGGAGAGGGGAGAGAGAGAATCATAAGCAGGCAGGCTCCACACTCAGAGTCTGATGCTTAACTGACAGAGCCACCCACGTGCCCCCATTTTGACCATTTTTAAGTATATAACTTAGTAGCATCAATTACATTCACACTGTTGTGCAACTATTGCCATTATCTGTTTCAAAACTTTTCATCACTCAAACAAAAACTCAGTAAGTCCTCATTCTTTTTCCAGCCCCTGTAACCACTATTCAACTTTCTGTTTCTGTGAATTTGCCTGTTCTAGGTATTTCATATAACTGGAAGCATATGATATTTGTACTTCTTTATCTGACTCATTTTGCTTAACATAATGTTTTCAAGGTTTATCCATGTTGTACCATTTGTTTTCATGGCTGAATAATATTCTATTGGATGGATAAACATGTTTATCCATTTCTGGTTTTGGACATCGGGGTTGTTTACAAATTTTGGCAATTGTGAACAGTGCTGAAACAAACATTGGTGTGTAGATATCTGTTTGAATCTCTGCTCTCAATTCCTTTTGGCACGTATGTAGGAGTGAAATTGCTGGGTCATATATTTAGCTTTTAGAGGAACAGTCTGGCAGTTCCTCTAAAATGTATGGTTCAGCAGCTGCACCAGTTTACATTCCCTCCAGCAGTGTATAAGGACTCCAGTTTCTCCATATCCTCACCAAAACGTAACTATTTTTCTGTTTTTTCTTCAGTATAGCTATCCTGGTAGATATGAAATTATATCTTGTGAGTTTTATTTATATTTTCCTAATGACTGATGATGTTGAGCATCTTTTCATATGCTTATTGTATATCTTCTTTGGAGTTCAGGCAATTTTTAACATCTCTGTGCTTTTGTTTCCTCTTTGTAAAATGGGAGCAGGACACCTGGGTGGTTCAGTCAGTTAAGTACCCCACTCTTGGTTTTGGCTCAAGTCATGATCTCACGGTCATGGGATCAAGCTCTGCATTGGGCTGAGCGTGGAGCCTGCTTGGGATTCTGTTTCCCTCTCTCTCTCTGCCCCTCCCCTGCTTGCACACACACACACACACACTGTCTCTCTCAAAATAATTAAATAAACATTAAAACAAAAATAAAATGGGGAAAAGAATAGTACCTGTCTTTTAAGGTTATTATGAGGATTAAACAAGGATTAAACAAGGAAATATATATAAAACACTTAGAACAGTGGCTGGCACATAGTAAGCATTTAATAAATGCTTGCCATTGAAATTACTACCTTTGGTTATTGTCACAACAAGAATGGCATGTAGATTTCATATCCTGTGTAGTTTGTTAACTGCTATTAGCTTCCCTGGAGGATTATGTTGAAAAAGATTCAGGCTAAAGATTATTGGGACTGATTAACAGTTTTTGCCCATGTTGAGAGACTTGGGGCTCTTTTATCACCCCTGGTCCAGACAGTGCTAGAGCAGACAATATGATGGAAGTAATTTATCTTATAGTGTAGATGGGCGCTTGCAGGAAATTCCTGTTAGACTTTTGACAAAACTTTTCATGTTATGACTCTGAGCCCTGGTTCTTCATTTAAAAAAATATGTATGACTCCAAGGTCTCAGTATTTCAGGGATGAGTGGGAATGAGAAGCAGAGGTTCTGAAAAATACAGAGAAAGGCAGCATCAAAAAAGTTTAGGAAGGGGTGCCCGGGTGGCTCAGTCGGTTAAGCGTCTGACTTCAGCTCAGGTCATGATCTCACGGTTTGTGGGTTTGAGCCCTGTGTCATACTCTGTGCTGACAGCTCGAAGCCTGCTTTGGATTCTGTGTCTCCCTCTCTCTCTCTGACCCTTGCCCACTCATGCTCTTTCTCTTTCTCAAATATAAATAATAAACATTAAAAACAAAAAGTTTGGGGCGCCTGGGTGGCGCAGTCGGTTAAGCGTCCGACTTCAGCCAGGTCACGATCTCGCGGTCTGTGAGTTCGAGCCCCGCGTCAGGCTCTGGGCTGATGGCTCGGAGCCTGGAGCCTGTTTCCGATTCTGTGTCTCCCTCTCTCTCTGCCCCTCCCCCGTTCATGCTCTGTCTCTCTCTGTCCCAAAAATAAATAAACGTTGAAAAAAAAAAAATTAAAAAAAAAAAAAAACAAAAAAAACAAAAAACAAAAAGTTTAGTAGGAGTGTGGCAGCAAGTTTTTAAAGATGTTAATCTCCTCTCCTGCCGTACCTCCACCCCATCATTGCTTTGGTCATGAGAATGAGTGCCTGATTAAGATTTTATTGTACATGATTATTTGTTATCCTAATTACTTGACACAAAGATAGCAAAAATGTGGCATCATTTCTTTTTTTCTGTGTCTCTGGCAAGACATTGCTTATTCCCTGTGAACTCAAATTGCCCGAGAGTCTCTCTAGTGCAGTGCCTTAGCTTGCCGTTGCCAGTGGAGCAGGGCTGGTCGATGAGACCATCTGCAAGACTCATCTACCATTTCTGCTTCAGAGTTTGGTACACTACTAAATACTACATTGCCACCAACCTCTACCTCCTGGCCCCCCTCCTCCCATGTTCTTTTAATGATTCTTTTAAAAACACCATTTACCAGCTTGCCCTCCAAACTTAGACCAATTTGTATTTCTAGCATTATCTATGTTGTAATTCCATTAATTTAATTTAATTCACCTAATTTGCAAGGGGTGCCTTTTGAATTTTCTGACTATACCAGTTTGTGGGAATGAAATGAAGCGTGTATGTATGGCTGGATTCTTTGACATTCTTTTGACTCAAAAGGTAATCTCTTCCCAACTTTCCTAACCACCTACGCTTCTTCACAGGGGACATGTGAATATGTGAATTTGTGACTCATGTGATTGGTGTCTGGTTTACTTTATTACATAAACCAGTCATCTTTTCCTTTTAAAAATCTTATGTTATTTTCTCTCAGAACTCCTACATTTCAGAGGCTATTTTTCCCTCTTCAGGGGTTTATTTTGATTAAGAGCTTGTTTTCTTTTTCAATTTTTGCACTGGCGTGAAATTGTAGTCCAAGTTCAGAAACTATAAGATGGCCTGTTATTAAAACCTAATAAAATTATATACTTTGTAAATTAGAGACTACAATAATGTAGAATTACTGAAGGTAGCTATTTATAAGTCTAGTGTTAGAAATGAAAGTACTAAAGAGGTAGATTAGCTTTTAAAAAAAAATACTTTTTGAGTAACTTGCTCTTTTGTATAAAACCTTGGTCCATTGGTTAAAATTGGATTGTAATATTAAGAGAGAAGAAAAGTGTTAAAAATCTTTTTTTTTTTTTAAGACCTAATATAATAACCTCTGTATAAGCTCTGTAGTTGCTTTCTAGTAGCTTTGACTTTCTTGGTTAAGCCTAGGATTCTGAAGTAATCTAAATTTCCATGGGGTGCCTGGGTGGCATTGGTTAAGTGTCTGACTTCGGCTCAGGTCATGATCTCACAGTTGTGAGTTTGAGCTCTGTGACAGGACCTGTGCTGACAACTTAGACCCTGGAGCCTGCTTCAGATTCTGTGTCTCCCTCTCTCTCTGCCCCTTCCCTGCTCGTGCTCTGTCTCTTTCTGTCTCTCTCTCTGTCTCTCTCTCTCTCTCTCTCTCAAAAAATAAATAAACATTAATTTTTTTTTTTTTTTTTTTTTTTT